TTTTTGCAGGAAGAAAGCCTCATCTTTCTTTCATGCAGCAACTGGCAGGCTTGAACTATTGACCTTGTGGCTCACAGCCCAGGGTTTATAGTATCAATCCTTCAATATTGCAAGTTGAGACTTGTTTTTATCCTCAGTTCTTCCTGCTTGAAAAATGCTGAATGTTTCCTTCAATTTTGGTTTTCAAACTCCATGTCTTTGCACATTTTATTATAATACTTGACTTTGTCTTCTTGAACTGCCCTTTGAAATGTTCTATTCGGCTCTCTTACCTCCTCATTTCTTGCATTTACTCTAGCATCTATACACTGGAAAGCAAGTCTCAGTGCCTGTTCTGACATCTATTTTTTCAAACCCAGTTAGATAGTACAAATTAAACTTTTCTACATTCCAAACTACCAGCTATTGCCCCTTTAAGCCAAGATAATTTGGAGATAAGATTCTGGTAGATAAGTGCTCTGGGCACAGGAAAAGATCACATGTCCTCCTTGACCCATCCTGTAGAAGCTTTCAAATAAAATAGTATAGTTGACCCTTGAACAATATGGTGGTTTGGAGCTCCAAACTCCCACACAGTCTAAAATTTATATATAATTTAGTTGACCCTTGGATAATACAGGTTTGGATTGTACAGGCCCATTTATACACAGATTTCTTGTTCCTGTTGCTATGGAGTCCTGGTGTGGCACTGTCAGTTTATGCACCAGACTGCAAAGCCGTTTGAACTTCAAGGTCGGTGGTTCAAGTTCACCAGCTGTGCCTCGGAAACCCTATACAGGGTTAACCTGGGTTGGAATCGACTCAGTGACATTTAACAACAACAACAATAACAACATTTGTCTTAGGCTGGGTTCTTTAGAGAAGAAAAATCAGTGTAATTTTATATATAGGTATAGATATTGATATAGAAATAGAGACATGAAGATAAGTTTACAACAAGGAAATGGCTCACACAGTTGTAGAGGTGGGAGAGTCTCAGTCTGGTTCAGATGAACCAAGATTGACAAGTCAGACTACAAGAAGGCAGACAGGTTCAGAAGGCAGGTCCAGCAGGCAGGCAGGCAGGCAGACAGGTAGGCAATAGAGCATGTCACTAGCTGAAGCCCAAGGGACTCGTGGGAACCAGATACAAGATCCAGGCCCAGCATAGAGCCCACAAGCTTTGCCTGAGTATCTAATACATCAGAAGTAGGCCACATTCCTAAGGGAACATCCTTTAAATGGATTAGCTGCTGTTGGCAGAACTCATCATAGAGTTATTTCCATTATATTAGATCTCATTATAGAGATAACTACATCTCAACTGCCAAACCACTGAGAATCCTGATCCAGTCAAGTTGACAAAAATCCTTTAAATATCATAGTCCACTTCTTGTCAACTTGACACCTTTACATAGCTCCTTAAACCATATACATAATCTCTAAATAAAGACCATTATAAAGTCATACTTTCACCTAACACGATACAACTAAAACATGTACAACTAAAAATGCACTAAGCCTATTTTCATCTTATATTTCATAAATGAGAAAAGCAAAAACATTTGATGCACACATATATATTCATAAGAATTACAGTCCTTGTTCCTGCAACTGGTCATATGGCCATACCTGAGATTTAGAACTACCTTTTTTCACTACCTCTTCATTCCATATTCCCTTTACCCTTGGCAAAACACTCCAGCTGGCTGTGTTTCTTTGCCTGGTGGGGAGATACAAACCTTCTTTCTTGAAGGGTCTAAGACATTAGTAGTCATGTTGGAATTGGATAGCTATAGTTTGCCATTGACTTTCATGGTAGTACTAAAAGACATACTAAGGAATCTCCTGGATTTCACTTGTATTCTTCTTTACCTCCATTATATAAAGTCAATCTTATTTTCCCTTGGTAGTCAGGATGAATCACATCACCCAATATAGTAACTCCTTTCTTTGCCTGTTGATCAAGAGGGATGAGGAACCCAAAATGACGAGGGGGCATTCTTAACATCCAGTTCAATGGAATCAGTGCTGTGTATCCAGGTGGGGGTATTCCTCTATTGGAACTAAAACATCCAGATCTGAAGAGCATAATAATTTCCCAGGGAAGGGAAGCAAAAATTTTGCAAGTGATTCACTAGGAATAGTTGTGAGTGGTGCCACTGCCATTTCCATCACTTCGTTCCTGCAACTGTGAATCCTGGCTATTGGAGAAACAGCACCATACATTGGAAGCTGGTAAAGAGCACATAAAGCCTCATGCAGGACAGCACCCAGACCTATATGGTATTGCCACTTAGCTGGCACTATAATTTTGTCTTTAGAAGGCCAGTCCATCATTTAATAAGGCCAGCTACTTCAAAGTGATGAGTAACAAGGTAAGACCACTGAATTCCATGAGCATGGATCCATTACAGCATTTCATTTGCTGTGAAGTGGGTCACTTGACGTGAGGCAATGTTGTGTTGGATACCATGATGGGGGGTAAGGCATTCTGTAAGTCCACAGACGGTAGTATTGGCAGAAGTAGTGCATACAGAGAGCTCTGGTAGCGTAGTGGTTACAAATCGGGCTGCGAACCTTAAGGTCAGCGGTTCGAAACTACCAGCTGCTCTGCGGGAGAAAGATGAGG